TTCATGCAAAGAACACACTTCTGAGTGAGGGGGTAGAAAGCTGTTTTTTCTTTAAGTGACGAACTCCACTTAGGCTTTTAGAGAGCTATTGCAACGTCTGTTTATAAGCTGACTAACCAGTAATGGAACTATCATAATTTACCTTAGGGCAGCCATAAGAAACAACATCCAGCTGGGCCTTTTCAAAAATTTCCTCCCTTCCATCTTGGAAATACTCAGATAATGCCTTCAAAAAACCTAGTACTTCCTTAACACTGTCACTTATGTGAATGCCCATAGATACTGGCTTTGGTATTCTCTGCTAGTCAAGTTTATACACAGATTTCAAAAGCCTGAGGCAAATTTATTTGAAAAGGGATTACAAGTATGAAAATGCTTTCTAAAGACCATTTGACAGTTTAAGAAAAATGTCAATTACAGCGAATAGATGTAGCTGTTGTTACCTTGGAAATCACACCTATTCACTTCTGTTTATAAGAACATAAACCATATTTCCATTAAAACAGACATGAGAAACTAAAATAAGACACGCTATAATAACCGTTTGATTGGGATCTCTCACACAGAATCTCATCTTTAAAAACTCTAAGCATAATAAAAAATACATTCTCTTTTCAATCAATTCTTTTACATGGTCAGTACTACCCGTTCGGGAAAAAACTCTCCAACTTTTAAGAGGTATTTTTGCTTAAAAGGGTTTTAAATATGCTCTGGAGAAAAAGTCTCAGCATTTCATTTTCCCGTATTGGAAAGAGGATCATGAAATTGTTTTATTTACTAAAAACTTTTTCTATAGGGTTTATTCTAAATATTGGTAGAAGCTTTTCAACTACTAGCACACACTAATTTTAAATAGGAAGTGAAATTAAACCAAATACCTTTAAAAGCAAGTGGTTTCTAGTGTGTTGATATCTCAATAAATATGTTATATTAAGCATAAAAATAGAAAATGATCAACATATTTTTTTAAAAAGCAAACATACTTGTTCAAAATGGAATGTGGGTGTCACCTGTAAGGAATAAACCAGTCACGCTGTCATTCCTTGATGAGTTGAAGTCAAGCTGCAGATAAAGGAGATGGGGAAGACAGCACATGTGGGCCTTGTCTGAGCTACTCCAATGTGACTCTTGGACTCAAGCAGGGTAGGCAGCTCTGGGCCAATCTGGCCTCTGGACCATATTGGTCTCAATATCCCTTCTGCTGGGATGAGTGGAGAGATGACATCAGGACTGTGTGCCCAGGATGGTCCTTGCTGCCTGCAAGTTAATGGCATAAACTCGACCCACTGCCGAGATCCCTCTGACCTACACTCAGTGCCACCCTAGAATAGGAAATCTTCAGAGGAAATGTATTCTCCTTTTCAGATTTTATTTTCCAGACTGATAAAATATTGCTTTTTAAAGCAAACAAAAGCTGGGAGGAAAAAGCCTCCATCCTTGAGTGTCTAAAATAAATCAGTCTGTGAATAACGAAGTCATGTTTTAAGGAGGCATTTCTTTACTTAAATCTCTATTTATAGCTCCAATGGCTGGGAAAGCAATTAGCTACATTCTGACCTCTTAAGCAGGGAAACAGGCTTCACTAATTACAGTCTCATTAACACTCTTTTATTTCCCTGCTCTTGGTGGGAGTTCTTCAAACATCCCTTTGGCTGCTAAGGTACATGGGAGTCTTCTATCCCACACTGCTTAGTTATGCACAGCGGCTTGTTAATTTCTTACCAGGGATGCCACACAAAAGAATAAAAGCTACTAGATCTCCTATAAAATAAAAACGCTGTAAGTAAAACTATGAATTTACATACAGGATTTGAGATTTATCTCTTAGTGAGATGAAAACCAATAAAGAAAAAATTGGGCACGAACTCCATGCCGTCGGGCCTTGTATCTTTCTAGGACTTTATTTTTCTCTTTAACATGGAGTGAGGAACATAAGCCTTGGAGGATTGCTGTGAAAACTAAACATTGTAAAGAAAACAGAGGCTCAGCAATCAATGAGCTTTCAAAGTGCGACAATGACAGATGCTGCCAGAAACATCCATCTGTCCAAATGATTTACAGCACACTTCACATCACTCTGCTTTGTATTATAGCTGCAGAGAGGCCATCAGTAGGGTTACTGTGACCTAATGTCCACCTCTGCTTTGTGTTTTCTGGGATGTCTGAAATGGGCTGGAATGGTCCAAGGGGAGAGCTGGCCCTCCGCCTGCTAGGACCTAGCAAGCCCAGAGTCCCTCTAGGTTAATCTGAGTGTTGCTGGCCCGCCTCACAGCACCTCAGGGTTTGCTGGGATGGGGGTGGGTGGAGGGGGACACTTGGCAACAAGGTCATTGGTTCTTTAGAAATATCCCTCGGTGAAGGGGGAGAGCCCGAGCTGTGGCAGGTGGGTAGGGAAGACAAGGGAGTCGGTTACCGTTGAAGGGCAGATCACAGACCTGTTTTACACTCAATATAGCAATACCTATAAACTTTAAGTGCATATTCCCGGAACCATCAATTTCACTTCTAAAAATTTACCTGATGCATAGAATTGTACAAGGAAGCAAAACTATATGTAGAGGGCATTTATGGCAGCATTACTTGAATTTGAAAAGACCAGCAGCTCTTTAAAGAAGTAGATATATCCTCATGTAGAAAAATTAGAGGGATGTGTATAATGCGATTCACTTCAATCTTAAAAAGATGTATCGATATGCTTATAGATGCAGAATGGGAATTCGTGAAAAGGTGGCTCAATGAGTGGGAGGGCACGCTTTTACTCATTTTTATGCGAGAATGCTTTATGAGCCTGTATTTAATTTCTAACTAAAAAAAATCCAGTACCCCCAATCTAAAATGATACCCGCCTATAGAAAAGAGTTGATAAGAGCAGGCCTGAGGCTGCTCTCCTTAGAAAGGCTGACCCTTGGCTGGTGTCTGGGAACGTGGGTTTCCGGAGGGTTTTCACCAATCCCTAATAATGGCTCCCTGTGCCTAAACTGTTTTTTTTTTGCAAACGATATGGTTTATGCCTAACACCTGCTTTCCTTGTGGGAGTGTGGAATCTGGGTACATACATGCCAGGCAGAGGGTGCCTACACACCTGACTCCCAATAAACACCCTGAATGCCTGGGTCCCGTGACCTGCCTTGGAAGACATTTCACATGCATCACGTGTCACAGCTTGCTGCCGTGGGAGGCAGGCACATTCTGCACGACACCACTGGGAGAAGACGCGTGGAAGCTGTGCCTGCTCTCCCCTGACTGTATCCCATGCACACTTTCCCTTCGCTGATTTGCTGTGTAACCTTTGACGGTAATAAATCATAGCATGCATACGACTGTACGTTGCGTGCTGTGAGTCCTAGCAAATGATTGAACTTGGAGACTCCCAACAAACCCCTAGTATTCTTTCCCATAGCACCTTCTTCTTGACCGTCACAGCATTACCAACATTAGTAACTAAACCGTTACATCTTTTTCACAAGATCGTAAGTTCCATAGGTTAACTATATGTATTTGTTATCACAACATGTCAAAAATATCAATAGAATTGAAAATGAGGGGATAAAACCTCAGTTATTAATAAAAGATGATCTGTCAGAGAGAGCGTGTAAGAGATTCCTTTTTAGATTCTGGGAACCCTGAGACACACTCACGACAAAATCAATACAATGGCAAACCAAACTCCACTATTTAATGGAAAGTAACCCAATTCTCTCTCCCCATGACTCATTTGTGCTCCCACCTGAAAGGAGAAACTTGTAACAAGACAATCAAGTTTCAAGTTTCTCAGCCCTCCAAGGCCACTGTCAGTCTGACAGGAGGTCACAGGCCTCTAAGCAACACACAACGAGGAAAAGTGCGCCGAGTGCTCAAACCATCCACATCTCTGCTTTCCCCACGGCTCATAGCTCCTCTCCTGTCCCACCACCACCCTTGGGAAAGATGAAGTAAGTCATAATAACCACCACGGACTAGAGCGTGGAGACTCAGCAGTTTGAGAGGTTAAACTTGTGTTGGAACTCCAAAGTGATATTCACATTTCCCCAAAGCCCATTTGTCTCTGAGACGACTAATTTCCTGTCTTCCAGATACCCAGAGATGACAATGGGCTCCGGAAGGGGGGTGGGGGTGAGGGTCTGTCCTGGGCTACCCACATGCTGGTGCTGACTCCAATCCCTCTGGAACCCCCTGCCTTGGGGCCACATGATGTAATGGGGTTTACTTGCCTTTATGTCCTCAGGTCCCTTTTGTTGGGTGTATTTTTTCCATTCCATTATCTCGCCCTACTGCACTCATCTAAAGCTTATCACAAAGAGAAATTAATCTGCCATTTCTAGCGTTATCAGGCCCCTGCAGCAAGTTCAGCATCATGTGGTCGGAGAGAAAGCCTCCTCAGCCCTGGCGAGTCCTCTTCTGGGTCTCCTCTGAAGGGCTCAGGCCAGGCAGCATCTGCAGTAGTGCCTCGGCCTTCCACAATGGCGGTGCCCACGCTTCTCCCTGGCTGCAGGGCCCTCTCCCATGCCTCCTGTCTTTTCCCAGTTACTGTGTGTGTGTGTGTGTGTGTGTGTGTGTGTGTGTGTGTGTGTGCGCGTGTGTGTAGCTTCCCACTCACTGCCCACTGGAATGTACGCAACTGCAGGGAAGAATCTGTCTTATTCATCTTCATACTGACGTGGGCTGGGTGTGTTTAGGGCAGTGTCTCAGCAGATAGGTGCTTAATAAATATTTGTTGATGTGAATCGGTACCTTGGTTCCTCGACCTGTACAATGGATGCAATATTTGCTATCTTTTTGTTATGGTCATGAGAAGAAAATAAATTCCTGAGATAACAGACAGGAACATTCCAAGACAGTAGATGTAAGTGTCCCTTAAACCCTACCTTCTATCCTATTTATTAAGTGTTTGCCTATATGGAGGCTGTGCAGACCGCTGAACGGAAATTAAATGCACTAGAAACTAAAGGCTCTGGCTGTGGGCATTCTTGCTCTAGTTCCCTGCGGCTCACGCTCTTTACCTTGCTGGCCTTCAGGATGTTGATCTGCTCTTCGTACACCGTGTCTCTGTTCTTCTCCAGAAAACCATCGGAAAGGTACTCCACCTGGGGCCATGATGGGAAACAAACAGTAGTTAGCGCTGCAGCTGGACCAGTTTCCTTCCGCAGCTGTTTCAGCGCATCCACACTGTTTTCTGAAAATAGGTGTGAGTAAATGGGAAACCCACAGATGTTCCTACTTAAAATGCAAACCCAAGATGTGGTCGGGATTCACACAGCGGGAATTGGGTATTCATTTTGTGGAAAAACATACCGTTTTCAAAAGGAGTTCCCGTTAATAGATGGCTTCCTTTGGGGGCTGTGAATGCCTCTTGTCAGCCACCCCCCAGACCTACTGGATTATAGAGTTGTCGGGAAAGTCATGACGCATTTTTGCATTGAAAAACATAGAAAAATACGTCACAATTTTCCTGATGACCCAATAGAACCTGCATTTTAACAAGACCCCAGGTGACTTCCGTGCACACTGAAATTTGAGAAGCACTGGGCTAGTGCACACAGAACAGCAATGCAGGTAAAAAAAGTCTAAGTATCTGCCAGTTACTGTGAAAGGAGCCACCCCAAAGACAGCACCACTCTGTTTTCACTCTTTTTTTCTCTCAAGCTCCAGGAGGATAGATTTGTGACTCTGTTACAGCTGCTATATTCCCAGGGAAGAGACCCTCAATAAATATTTGTCAAGCATGCCCCTAGGTAACTACGACCACCCACTGGGGTTCTGCTGTATATTGACAGGTAGGTACATTACATAGATGGTGCGGAGAGGCAAGAAAGGGTAGGAGGGGGTCCTACTAAGAGAGTTCGGACTGCTTGAATTCAAACGGGACAGCTCCCTCACAGCCCAGAAACCCCAAGTCTACCTAGGGTGGGGCTAATGGAGCCCCAAAGGCCACAGGGAGGAGACCCACCTTATCTGCGAAGTGCACAACAATGAAGGCCGTGTTGGACATGCGGGGTTTCTGGAAGTGCTGGCTGCTGGAGTGCCGGTCATAGAGCTTCTGAGCCCAATTCTGGTCAGTTCCTTTGGGGACCTGTGGAACCACAAAACCAGGTGCTTCATGAAGAGGTAAAAGAAAACCAAGAGTTGAGGCAGAGGGATGGAGTCCAACTGTAAGTTGACCTCATGAGGCTGGATTCAGCTCTCAGACCTGGGCTTTAAGTGGACGTGGAAAACCAGATTCAGACATGGACACGTAAGATCCTGCCACGACCTGCTCTCAACATGCCGTGTGGGTTGGTTTCCCACACGGTCCATAGGCGTGTGCTGAGCTTGAAAGAACATGCTGTTTGGCAGATGCTGGAAAGGTTAGAAAAGGATGAGGATGGAGGCCAAGGTCACAGGAGCAGAGTTACAAGTCACGGAAGAAATCAGAAGATGCCTCCTTCCTCAGGTCAGTGACTTCAGTTTCATGAGCACGGCACGTCCACCTCCAGTGCCAAGCTCCTGCTCACTCAGGCCAAACTCCTGCAGCAGCAAAGCCCACTCCTGCTCTCAGCTCATCTCAGTACTGCCATCCAGGCTCAGCTCACCTGTCCTTTTCTCTAAAGCAGCGGTTCTCAACCTGTGGGTCGCGACCCTTTGGAGGTCTAACGACCCTTTCACAGGGGTTGCTGGGTACTCGTATGTGGGCGTATCTGCATGTGGGCCTGGAGACGGATAGAGGAGCGGTGTCTCGGTTCCTAAGATCATCGAAAATATGTTTTCCGATGGTCTTAGGCGATCCCTGTGAAAGGTTGAGAACCGCTGCTCTAAAGCCTTTCCTGGAATTCCTCCCAGTTCAGCTCTTACACATACACTACCTAATACTGCTCATCGCTGGTTTGTGTGTATTGTCTTATAATCACAAACTAAGCTTGTTGGGTTCAAGGATTAGGCCTTACTGTTTCTTTCCTGCCCCTCAAAGAACTAAGAGTTGGGTTCCAGCCACACATTGGGTAAGTACCTAGTGACTAAACCACGCAGTGCTAATCTCTGCCTTCCCCAAATTTAAATTTAGATTTAGAGATTCCAATACATTGAGAATTCTGAAGGCCAGCCCCTTGCAGTATCTTTAGAGGTGGCTTCAAAAGTGAAAAGGCATCAAGGCCAGCCGAGTGGCTCAGTTGGTTAAGAGCTCGCTCAAGAGTGCGAGCTCTGAGTAACAGCGGTTCGAGTCCTGGCCGGAGCTGAGTTGCTGCTGAGCTGCCAACAGGTGGCAGGATGGCTCAGCTAAAAAAAATGTGAAAAGGCATCATCTTGCTTTGTTGAAAACAACCGAGTCACTGTAACCAGCACTGAAATTGTCAAGGATGATGGTAACTCTGCCAGTGGGAAGGTGCTCCCTCCTCTGTCATCCTCGAACACCACTGCACACTCGCATTCCTCAGTTATGGGTCACCAGCTGGCTTCCCCTTCATTTAGATCAGTGGTTCAACCTTCCTAATGCCGCGACCCCTTAATACAGTTCCTCATATTGTGGTGACCCCCAACCATAAAATTATTTTCGTTGCTACTCTATAACTATAATTTTGCTACTGTTATGAATCATAATGTAAGTATCCTTTTGTTTTCCGATGGTCTTAGGCGACCCCTGTGAAAGGGTCGTTCCACCCCCAAAGGGGTCGTGACCCACAGGTTGAGAACCGCTGATTTAGATGGTACATTTGGATCAGGCAGGGATGGAAGTGAACCTTGCACTAGTCATTTAAAAAGAGCTTTGTTTGGTAAATTAATAAAATCTGTGCCATAAGGAAAATGCTTAAACACAGTTGAGAACATAGTTCTCAAATATTTTGTAAGCAAACAGATTTCTCTCAACATACAATTTGGTATAACTAGTATTGGATACCCAATGCCAAGTGCTGGAGGAAATTCAAGAAAACAAAACTTTTTCTTGAAGGGGGTTATTAATTGTGTAGGGCAGACAAAATAAAATATATCTAATTCAGCATTTTTTAATATATCCACTATTTTATATTTGTCTTCAAGCATCCTGTGTTTAGAAACACCAGGGATGGGGAATGTAGGGGTCGGCCTGGCAGGGCTGTCAGCAGACAATGATGGGAGGACAGGAACACAACGGACCCAGGACTGGCAGAACTGGGGCAGAGCGAACAAGACGGGCAGGTCTGTGATGAGAAGCCCCATCTGAGTCAACACGTACACTTGCTGGTATCAAGATCATCTTGTCCTGACAATGAAATTGAACTTCTGCTAGAACAGGGAGGGGTCGGCAAACTTCTGAGATGGAAGAGCCAATCCTGTCCCTCACAACAATTTAAAAATCATTCGAGAGCCATAAAACAAATGAAATCACCATTATGTGAATAATACCCTTTAAAAATTTTATAAATGAAACTATGATAGTTTTATTTTTGTTTTCAATTTTACTTCAGAGCCACATGTACGTACCCAAAGAGCCGCATGTGGCTCGCGAGCCGCCGTTTGCCGACCCCTGGGCTAGAAGACTCCATAATCCTGCATATTCACTAGTTCAGACTGGCATGAGTCAATGAGGAAGGTTGTGTATATAAATATTTCCTGACAAGGATGAGCCTCTGTTCTCACCCCTCCTTCCACCCCCACCATCAACTAAACATAATTAGTCCAGCAGGAATTCATAACACCTGAGATTCTCAGCTAATACTAACAGCAAATGCCCACAGTGCTTATTGTTTGCAAGGCAGTTTTCTACACATTTTAGATGCATCAACTCATTTAATCCTCACAATACTCCTATGAGTTAGGCGCTATGCCTGTTCACATTTTACAGACAAGGAAGATAAGACAGAAAGGCTAGGTAACTTGCCCACGGACAGAGCTGGGAACGGGCAGAGCTGTGGTTCAAACCAGGACAGGCTGGCTCTTCCTATTATGCTCTCCTGCCTCACAACAGAGTTTTAAGGACAGTCAGGAAGGCAGGGTTAGGTGGAAGGCACTTATCTCCAAAAACCTTCCTGCAAAAGTAGATTTAAAACAGGCATTGGATAAAGAAAGCGAGTCTTGTAGTTTGTAAAAATCTAGATTGTGGCTATCGGTAACTCTGGAATATGCAGTGAATGGAACCCTTTATAAAAGCATGTATGAGTGGCTTCATACACGCATCTATACTCTCTTCTCAAAGTCAAGTGACGAGGGCACTGAGCCAGGAGCCTGGATCCCAGCGCTGCCCTAATCTGGGCAGGACTGTCCCTCAGAGCTCTAGCCCCTCTGACCTGCTCTGCTGGCTGGTGGTCACCATCAAAAAAGTGAAAGTCCCATCTACATGAAATGCCCAGAATAGGCAAATCTATAGACACAGGAAGTAGGTTATTAGTTGCCTAGGGCTGTGGGGGCAAAGGGGGGAGAGACTGCTAATGGGCTTCTTTATAGGGGACGAAAATGTTCTAATATTGATTGTAGTGGTGATGGTTGCACAACTCTGTGAATATACTAAAAACAATTGACTTGTATATTTTAAATGGGTAAATTGTACGGTGCATTAGTTATATCTCAGTAAAGCTGTTAAAATACACTAAACCTGATTTAAAATAAAATAGAATAAGTGGGGTGGGGGGAGAGCAAGTGCCCGGCCTTACTTGGCCCCTCTTCCCCGACAGCCTGGGGCCCAGGACAACTTTCCACCAAGGTGCTTCCATTACTGGCCTGGGACAGCACCTGGGGCCAAAGCCTGCCCCCAACCCAGCAGCCCACAGGAGATGACTGGTAAGGACTTCAGAGCCAGTTACCCCATCTTGGCTTCTTGTCCCTGTCTTCCTGGGGCACTGCCACCAACGACTGCCTCCCTGGTCACTCACTCGCTATCTCATTTCATCCCTCTGTGGGCTCCCCGATGCCTTGTACCACTGCTGACCTCTCAAACGACCGACCATGCCACTGACACCTCGGGGCCCTCCGTGGCGTCACAGAAGCCTGGCTGGGCCCCCAGGACTCTGCTGTCCTAACAGCTCTCTAGGTGGCGATGGTTCCTTCCTCCCTACCTGGCGGCCATCCCCAATGCCAGTTCCAGGCCTTTACGTTTCCACCTTTACAAAACACCCCTCTGTGTGCTCAGCGAAACAATCCAAGACCAAGCCCGCCCTTTCCCACACCCGCCCTTTCCCACACCCGGGAGGCTAGCTAGGATCACCAATCAACTCCTCTTCCCTTAATTAAGTCCTGCTGATAACTTAGTATAATTTAGTATTACTGCCAACAAATAATCAAATTTCGCCGTGACAGTCACGTCTACGGATTAAGACACTGCACCCAGAGCTAAGCTGAGAGTTGGCCCCAACAATATCTATGTCTTAATTTATGGTCTTTGACCTCAGCCAACAAATTTATGTTCTCTATTTTTCTTCCCTGTTTATGGGACAGCCCTTCCCTCCGTCCTCGCTCGTCCTTCAGCTTCTAACCCTGCCTGCCACCTCTACGCTGACGCCTCATTTCCTCCCTCACAGCGAAAGGTTGTCGAGCAGGAAGCCCCAAATTCCTGCTCTTCGTCCAGAAGCTCATACGCATCCACAGTGGGGACCCCTCCTCCCCTCCTCACGGGAAGAGGCACTTCTCTTCCTAGTACTTCTCTTCCTAGCCGGCTTCCTCTCCACCCAGCCCCCGCTTCCCGGGTACCAGCATCCACCCATCTTCCCTCTCTCCCCGAATCCTTGAATCCTCGTGAATCACGCCCCTACCTTTCCTCGTTCTCACCTCCTCCTTTTAACAGCCAAGCCTCCACGAGGGGATTCAAACTAGCCATTTCCACTGCCTCACCTCCTACTCTCCTCAAGCAACTTAAACTAGGTTTCTGCCTAGACAACTCACTGGAAAGTGCTCTAACCAACAAGTCACTGTCAGATGCAGTGGCCCTCTGAGGCCCACACGCTGATCCCCTTCCTGAAGCCCTCTCCTCCTCTCCTCAAGCCTCTGTCTTCTCCCGCCCAGACGACCGCAGGGCTGCCACTGCTCTTCCTACTCCAGGCTCTGCCTCCAGCTTCGCTGTCACACCATCGCCAGAAAGCTCTGTTGGAAAATGAGCCACAGCTCATCACATCTCTCTCCTGCTTCACACCCTTCAGTCCCCAAAGTCAAGTCCAAACTCCTTCTCTGGGCCGGCGGAGCCTCCCATTCTTGGATGGTTTCTGTTTCCCACTCTCAGCTGCTACCACATGGGCTCTGGACAAATCAGATCATCTCAGGTTTTATGAACGTGACATGTCCTTTGCCCAGGACACCTCTCCCCTCATGACTTCTCTGCCTAAACGGCCCTTTTGGGGACACTCTTTTTCTCAGCCATCTCCTCCTCAGTGTTTCCACTTCCCTAACATCACAGGTGATGATTTCGGTGCTTGCCTGACCCCCATGGAGGAGTGTTGAGGGGCAGGGGGCCAGTCACTTAGGCAGGAACATGCGGTGTGCTGGATGGGTGAATGAGCAGATGTGGAGAAACCATCTCACCTCCCTCCATCACAGGTCTCAAACCTGCTCACAGACGTGCCATCAAGGAGACTCGGGGGCGATTTCTTAAAAAACCATGAACCCTTGCTCTTACTACAAAGTACCTCCCCTGAGAGCAGGCTGGGCCCAGGTAAGGAAACAGAAGGACATTCACCTCCCCACCGTCTTTAGCCTGCTTTCGCGCCACTGTCACAAGAATAGGGTATCAATTAGGAAGGTCTGTCCCAGTCAGCTCTCCAGGCTGGGTTCCATGAAACAAAAGAATGCCAATTACACAGGGCAGAGCTTGTGCCCTACCCTCAGGCCTGCCTTCGTGAGTCCCTACCACCTCTCCACCCTGATACAGCGGTCGAGGTATCATTTTTAGAAAATTCCTGCTAAAATGCAAACGTGTCACTCTTGAGGCAACAGGCACTGACCTCTCATCTCTTATCAGCCTGAGCTCATTTGTTCCTCCAATAGGAAGGGTACCGGTGTCTGGGACACAGGGAGGGCAGGAAACGCCTTGTCTGAAAGGCTTCGATATGGCTTATGTCATGCGGCCTTTGAGAGCACCGGGGTGGGAGTTTGGTTAAGAGCAGCCTGAAGTGAACATTTCCTACAAGCAAGCAGCCTCTCGCCTGCCCTGTAGTTACTGAGGAGCAGCTGTGGTTTGTGGCTCGGTCTGGGTCCGACTATAAATCCATGGCTGCAAAGCGGCTTTTCTACCTGAAGGAACCTGGGGCAGTTTAATATTCTGGTCCCCATGCCTCATCTGCCATCTCCAGCACCAATCACAGGCTCTCGCGAGAGCTACCTTGTGTGCTGCCCCTTTAAATCCCTGGCCACCTCATCTCCACGTTTCTAATTTAAATCCCAGCTCACTGGCCCTGCCTGCCACTGGGTGTCACATCCAGGAAAAGTGATTTTCCCAATGGCTGCTTTTATGCCATGAGTCTAATCCTTCATTTGGCTTTGTGTCCTGTCACACGCGAGACACAGAGCCCAATTCTTCATAGTGCAATCTCATTATTCTTTCTCACTCTGCAGAGTGCATCTGAGCAACAGAGGAGGAAAGGAGCGTGTCTGAGGCAGCTCCACCGTCCCACAGGACTGGTCCCGAGGGCTGCCAAGTTGACCAGCTGTGACCAAGTCCATGGGCATTCCCGACCTGCTTTGGTTCAGAGCCATGGGCACTTCCAGAGGATACAGCAGTCCGCCCTATTTTTTAAAGTCAAATTTATTGCGGTATAATTTCCATACAGCAAAGTGCACCCTTTTCTAAGTGTATAGTTCCATGAGTTTTGACAAAGGTAGTAACACTTGTTGGTTTAAAATCCACTTGCTACTAGAAGCTGCCGTCACCTTACTCTGAATTCCCAGAGCAATTAAATCTGGTAGAAAAAGATTGCACATCAGGACTTTTGTATTATTTCTTAATTTGGTGTTCCTCTTGGCTCCCTTACTCCACCCATGACCTTGGCCGCTAGTAAGTTTAAACACATCACAGCACTACCTCATCTCTCAACGCTCTGAGCTCCCACCAGCTTGATTAGCAGGAACTCCAGGCTTTCCTGAGACCTGCCCTTCTAAGGAGGCTTCAGGAGGAAAAAGCAAGGAGATCTGACAGAGGACCAGAGCGGCTGCATGTAGCTCAGCAGCCTGCGTTGGCACCCCCAGTCCTTGATTCTGTTTAGCTGCCACCCTGCTGCCCTTGGGCTGTGGCCTATGCCTCTTCCAGCCTGCTCTGGAATCCTGGCCTCCAAACTCAGGCCCTGGTCCCTGCCTGCAGCCCCGCCCCCTCCCCTGCCCCCACCTACACTCACGCAGGAGGAGCTCCTCCAGAGAGCCATTCTGGCCCTCCTCCCTTGTTGGCTAGCAAGGAGATCCATTCCTCCTATTCTGAGAATTTTTCCTCAAGACCAGACATATAGTAGGTGCCTAATACATTCTAGGTGTCTGCGAAATTGCAGTGGCAGGGGTTGGAAATGTCTTAAACTGAAATCACCTAATTTTACAAATCTGACCCAAACAGACAACTCCACAGGGCATAGACAGAGATCACCCATATGGACACAGTTGGATTTTTCTTCCTTAGCTTCTCGAAAGTGAAATAGACTCCACCAGGGATTCCCCAGGCAGTGTGCACTCAGGAGGAAACCTGAGGACAGGAGGTCTGAGGATCGCACCTGTTCTGGAATATCCAAGGCTGCAAAGTCTACGGATTTGGAGGGTTACTTTCCTAATTGCTGAATATTTGCCTCGTGGGCCTCCCTGCAACTGCTGTCTCCTTTTCTGCCACCTGCTAAGAGTGGTTCTGCCATCACTCCCAGGACCACCTGCTCCCCAGCCCGGCATTGCTCTGAGCTTCCCCTCGGTGGCTTGTGGGTCACCCTTTGGACAGCAGTCTCAGGTCTCTGCACCAGTGTATTGGGAACAGTGCTCCCCCTCCCGCTGACCTGATATTCCTGTGACATGTTCCCTTGGGTAGTGGCACCTCTCAGGTCCTCAAACCATAAGCCAAAACAAACCCACAGCAGCCCTCCTTTGCTTGCTAAAAGCACGGTAAATCATTGCAAGTCATCAGGCAGCTGCTCACATCGCAGGAGCAGTCAACCTGAAGCACTTAGGTGTTCTGATGAGAGGTGTGTATACATTGGAAGGAAGGGGCCATGGCCAAGGGTTATGGTTTATGCCACAGGTAGCTCATCACAGAGCTGGGCAGGCCAGTGCAAGACAGCCTGCCTGCCTCCCGTGCTCCTCAGAGCTGTGTAGACCTTGACCTGCACCCCTGGGGAGGGGAGTGATGCGCTGGCGTCCTCCTAGAAGCAGGGCCTGGGGGGAACTACACGGGCTCAGCAGCCCGGAGGCAGGTAGGACATAGGACATGGTGTTGCCTTTGGGTTGGGGGTGCGGAGCTGGAGGAAAAGGGTTATGGACAGACCCACAAGAGACTGGGGGAGGGGGAGCCAGTTTCCATTGAGTGTGGGAAGGAGCTGTTATCAATGGACACCGAACCAAAGTGAGTGAGTGGTGAACACCAGGAGTGAGTGGAGGGCCTGGGCTGTGACTTCGGTCTCTTAGCCTGTGCTACTTGATGCAAGGACAATTGTGCTATCAGCTTTACTGCAACCTCATAGACGGAGCATGCCCAGGCACACTCCTGCCACACTGAGGAATTACCCCCGCCTGGATCTGACTCAGGACAAAGTCCAGAGCTCTGCAGAAATGCTGAAAACCGTTAGAGAAAAAAAATGTACAAGCTGTGGACATCAGCATATTTTTACTCTGTCTTCTGCTGTTCTAGTAACCTTTTCTTTTCCTTTTCACAGGAGAGCCCTTCTGGAAAGGGATCTCCCCCTCCTCCCAAATCATCAAGCCACACTCTACCCTTTACAGGCAAGACGTAGGAGAGCAAAAAGGAAAAGTGAGTGGGTTCTTCCCTTTCAATACTAAGAATCGTGCGGGTCCTACCCTTCTGATCAGTGTTCCCATCGCTGGAGGAATTGGTGCACATTCACCTCCTTATCACCAACCACCAAACGGGGAAATTTTCAAGCTCATCAGATCCAACCCCCACCAATTCATAGAGCAGGAAGCCAAAGGCCATGGAAGTTAGGTGACTGGTAACACCCAGAATCCCCTCGCCCCACATGCCCACTGCTGCCTGGTTCTCTCCATGCTGGTAATCCTGGCCTCCTCCTGTCCCACCAGTAGAGGCGACAGAAAGCAAGATGGGAGATCTAAGGCTCTCACCAGCCACCAAGCCATGCAGCTCTGTTGCTCACACGCCATCTGACACAGCAAAGATGACCCTGGGCTCCTGACCCTCACCTCTCTGGGGATGCCTGTCTAGATGTTGGGGTCCTTCTCTGAGCACTTAGGACATCTGGGGCATTGAGTCCATACCACCATATCATGCCAATCATACCATGCAGCCTCTGCCAACAGAGGCAGCACAGCAATGCTTGCCAGTCACGTTACCTTCTAGTACGCAGAATGGACACCCGTGCTTCGCTCAGCACACTCAAGGCTGGCTAGTGACAGATGAAAGTCCAGCTCTGGGATCTCACATGTTGCCTTGCATCACATAGATGTCCTCTGCCCCCACCTCAAGCTTAGCTCTGACCTCATTTGAAGGGAGCATCAGCAGTATTACCTTACATTCTTCATCCAACAGGTCCAGGATGCCCAGCTTAGCTTCTATGAGGTCGATACAAGGTTGGTTGTCATAAAAATCAATCAGCGTCCAAGGGATCTGCTCCTTCATGTATTCTTCTTGCTCCAGTTTGAATACATGCTAGGGCAAGAAGTGAAAGGTCAAGGTTAGTGAACGGCATGCACACCTTAACATTCATCTTCCCTGAGCTTCAACCATGCGAGATTGGAGTCCTGAAGGCTGGCGCACACCCACCATAAAAGGTTTGGGTACTGAGTCATAGTCATGATTGCAGAAAAGCTGTTAGGTGACCCTCACTCCCATGTGAACCCTTCTTTAGGGCATCCTAATAATCACCTGTGATGTCATACCCCCACCAATCACAAGAAGGCCCATCTCTGGCTTGCAATTGCTCAAATACCCCCAGAAGCCCAGGCTCGGGGGAGTAGGAGTCAAAGCCAAGGGAAGAATCCTTTATGCTCTCAACCCAGCTGCCCCATTCAGATCTCCTCCTGAGCAGCAGGGAGAGCCTTTCTAAAGCTGGAGCACCACCAGGAAACCAAGGGAAGGTCAGGGCAGAGTCAGAGCCCACTGACCCTGGATGGAAGAAAAGTGGCCCAGGCCGCTGTTCCCAGGAACAGAGAGAGGTCCCCCCACCCCGACACCCCAGGTCCAGGAACCGAGCCTACCGAGTTGAACTGCTGCTGGAGCTTCTCATTTGCATAGTTGATACAAAACTGCTCAAAGCTGTTTACCTCAAACGTCTCAAACCTGCAGAACAAAAAAAGAGAGGACAACTTAAGAGACATCTCCCCCTACCGAAGGAATCACTGGGACTTCAACCAGGCTGCCCTCACTCTCTCTCTCCTCCCATCCAGCTGTATCCTTAACTCCAGCACAGAAGTCCCATTTTCTGTTCTCATGCCCAAAGAGAACACTGCTGCAGGTATCAGCATGAGCGAGAGCCCTGTTAAATTAGCAGAGGAAGAATGCATCATGTTTTCATAATTAAAAATGGACCAACAGTTGGAAAATTCAGAAAAAGCAAATGTAAGAGAGAGAAAGTCACCCATGATACTATCACTCATATTAAACCACCAGTTACATTTCAGTAGGTTTCCTTTCAGAGATATTACATTTTTAAACAAATGAGAATAACATGTAAAATTATACCTATTTTCATCATTTAACTTTCCATTGCAAACATGTCCCCATGCCATTGTTCTTCAAAAGCATCAGTTTTAATGTCTGCCTCTTCAAGCCTTGCATGGACTGACCTGAGGACTGCACAGGGAGCCCAGGTGAGGGGACAAATGCGGTTGAAACTTAGTGGGTAGTCCCTCACAAGTTTGGGAAGGGGTGTTCCATCCATAGAGGGTGCCCTTTTCCAATTCATACAAAGGCTCCTCGTGGGCTGGCAGTGCCCCCACACAGGTGAATCATAATTTAACCAATCCCCCATTGCAGGACATTTTGGTTCCTTTCCCAGGTTTTAGCTGCTATGGATGCTGTAACAAATAAGGTATATACATCTTTGAATTCATGATTCTTTCCATAGGATGTTATCCTCCTAAAAGGGAAATTACCACGTAAGAATATGGTTTCTTAAAAGGTAGAAGCAAATTAACTTCCAGAAAGGTGGAAACAATTTATGCTACCACCCCATGTATGAAAGTCTTGTTCTCCTGATGCTGGTTAAGGATTTTTTTTATTTTTTAATTCATGTTTATTGAGTTAGAGTTTACATATAAGACCCAGTAAATTTAATGGTGTATTTCAATGAGTTTTGACAAATGTTATACAATGTGTGACCATCACCACAACTCAGATGTAGAACATTTTCATCACTGCAGAAAGTTCCTTTGTGCTCCAGTCTTGCCCCTCACCAGGAGAATGCAGATGCCACAGCTCTTTGGTCCATAATGTATATTAACTTTTAAAAGTCTTCGGTGGCTTACTATATGAAGAATGTTTTCGTTTGCATTTTAATTTTTTTGCCCACTGATGGGAGTTCAACATTTTTCTGTAGGTGGGAACCAGTCATCTCTACTTTGTGAATTATCTGTGATTTCTGAAGTGTTTGTTGGGTTTTAATTTTAAAAATAAATGTGTTTGGGACCGGCCAAGTGGCTCGTTGGTTAAGAGTTGGCTTGGGAGTGCGAGCTCTGAGCAGCAGAGCCGCCCATTTGGATCCCACATGGGACAGTGATGTTGTGCTCTCTACAGCTAAGATGGTGAACAACAGCTCAACCTGGAGCTGGGCTGCCGTCAGTCGCCAGCAACAGCGTAGACTGCAGTGGGGCTGCAGCGGGCTGCCGTGAGCTACTGAGTGGCCGGCAGCCAGCGTGAGCAGCCGGTGTGAGCTTTCATGAGCTGCTGTGAGCCGCTGTGAGCAGCCATCCAATGGCCAGCGAGCAACTGCCTGATCCGGGAAGAGTGCAATGATCATAATACCAACATGCGCCAGTGAAGCAACAACCTCCACAACTAGACTGAAGAACAAAAGGACAGCAACTTGTCTGTTCCCCTTCCCCGATTCCCCAATAAAATCTTTAAAAATAAATAAATAAATGTGTTTGAACTCTTTATAATATCAACAATGTCATTTACTGCTCAACTCAAATGTGTGCAAATGGCTGGATTGCTGTGGGGGTTGGGAGAGGTGGAGCCCACGGAGAGATGAGAGAGATGAGAGCCAGGCAGGGGTCCTGCCTGCAGGCCTTGTATGCTACGCTAAGGAGTCTGGGTTTTCCCAGGGGCAGTGGGGAGAATTTGAAGGATTTGAAATTAAGAAATGACCATCAGATTTACATCTTAGAAACTGGCAAGAGGGTGGAGAAAATTGTGATTTGGGGGAAGGGGTGCAAGATGAAAGGCAGGAAATTGGGTAAGGCAGTAATTACTAGAGTAATAATCCAGGCAAGATCCAATCAGGGCATGACTTAAACTGGTAGAAGCCAAGTAATGGAAAGGTTCTAAAGACACTGAGGAAGGTGGAAATGAGAGGACCTCAAATGACCATCGAAGTATACAGGTGAAACTCACTTACACAGCTGAATGTATGTGGTACAGCTCACCAAGCTTTGACAGCACCAGCAGCTTTAGCTATAACAGTATGGGGCCATCTTGTATCCTGAGCAATGTCATCAGGCCAAGACTGTGAAAAGGGGCAGAAACCCAGGAGGAAGAGGTAGCTTTTTCTCATTCACAGAACAGGCTGAGCTGACAGCAGCCCTGGTAATGAGTGCCTACAGAGTACCAGGCCCAAGTGCCTCATGAGCCCTTACTCAGTTACTGCCCACAACCACCAAGAGTTCAGGTTTATTATTAATCCCATCCTACAGTCGAAGAAATAAGGTATGGGGAGATCACATAACCTGCCCCAAGTCAGAGTCAGTAGGCAGGTGAGCCAGTATTTGAACCCAGAGAGTCAGAATTCTGGGACCACATTCTTAGTTTTGAGAAGAGTACAAGTTTCATTACGAAAAGGAGGAAGGGATGACTTCGAAGGGCTGTGGACAAGAACGGTGACTTCCCCGAAGGGGAGGTATTTGAGCACATGGAGAATGGAAATAGCAACGGGGGACCTGGGGCTGGGGACACAGGCTTCCACCTTCTCTACAACCTTGAACCTTCACCTCTCTCATTCTTCAGTATGGACAACTGCATTTTCTCAATCTTATATGAGATGATGTCAGCCTTTCCAAATAGATTGTACTCCCTAATGACCACTCCCAAATAAAAATGTTGGCACTGCCTCTGGTGGGGGTTGGGGATGGTGGTAGTGGAGAGGTAGCACCCTATGCAGAGGGACCAGCAAAAATAAATGCATCAGACACCTGACGGGGCCAGATCAGTGCCCAGAACACATTAGACTCCTCCCCCTCCTCCTCCTCTGCACCTACGCCCCTCCCCCACTAGGAACAAGACATGGAGAAGCAGAAAGTCATTTTGAGATCAAAGGAGTCAACTGCTTGCCAACAACCACATTAAATAACAGCCTTTGGTCATGCCCACGTAAAAGAAGTAAGTCTAGGTTAATAAAACAAGATCAAAGACACAAAGTCCAAACTAGAGCTGCACTCCAGGCCAGGCAGGAGGGAGGCAGTGTATCTGCCAGTCGTTACCCTGGTTTGGGGCCCTCTCAGCCCAGGTGGTGGTCCTACAGACCTAGTTATGTCACTTAGAACCTCATTTCCTCCCCCACCACACCCACTGCACCCTTAGAGAGGTGGCTGGCGCCAGTCAAGCCCCAGAGGAAATTTAATTAATAAAACCAAGAAGGAAGACAAAAGAGCCACCCCGGCAAATGGCCAGATAATAGCAATTGGGCGTGCTTGCAGGACTTGTACTGAGCTCCACAGATAAAGGATTTAAATACCTCCCGCTTATCACTTTTTAAAGGTTTATACTGGTAGCACTCCACAAAGAATGTTCTCATTAATTTGAGATGGCCCCAAATTTGCTCATAATTTCTCTATTTCTAAGATATTATCTGGAAACAATTCCTCTGCCATCTAGCGTAATTACTGTAATGCCGGCGGGCCAGAGATGAATGACGGGTTTGGGTAGCTTGGGAAATGTCTAAGATGACTGACCTCAGAAAACCAGTCAGGGAGATAACGCAACTTCTCTTCTACAATGGAACTATATTTGTAGTAATTCTTCCCATCAACAGAGATGACTTTTAAAAGTCAACACAATGAATTAATTTATAGTTCACAACATTAAGATGTAACAAAGAAATCTATATACTAGAGGGAATGAATTTCCCCTGTAAAATCAATGTCGAGACTATTTACACCAGGATCCTTGGGTGGGAGGAAGATCAAAACACAGAATGAGACTTGATGCTGAGACCTGAGATCTGTACTCGTTGCAGTACAATTCTCATCCCTACTTCAACTTCCTCCTGTCTTCAAAATGTAGTAGAAAAGTATGCAATCTCCTTCTACTTCATTCTACCCCAATTTTAGGGTGTGCTAATGGCCATAGATTCCTCTAAAAATAAGGTAGTGTTGTTGGAAAATGAAACTGTAATAAAAAGTCAACCAGTCACTCTGGAGGTTAATTATTAACCTCTATGAACCTCTCACTTCAGAGCAGAGAGGCAATGAAATGCTTTGAAATTTGGGAAACAGTCCTTCCTCTAGAACACGGGTCAAGGGAATAGGAATCTTAGACCAGCCTCATCTTTCTATTTTATCAAGATTATTCTCTTGGGCTGGCCGAGCCGGCGTGATGGTTAAGATTGGCTTGGGATGCCAGAGGGCCCTGGTTCGGATCCCACATATGAGGGCCAGTGACACTGCCCTCTACAGCTAAGATGCTGAACAACAGCTCAACCTGGAGCTGGGCTGCTGTGAGTCGCCGGCAACAGCTAGGCTGCAGCCCCTGCTGCAGTGGGTTGCCATGGGCTACCGTATGTAGCCAGCAGCCAGCGTGAGCAGCCAGCAGCCGCAGTGAGCTGCCGTCCAGAAGCCGGCGACTGATCTGCCTCGCCCGGGAAGAGTGCAATGATGGTGCCAACTTGGACCAGTGAAGCAACGTCCTCCACAACTAGACTGAAGAACAAAACGACAGCAACTTGTCTGTTCCCCTTCCCTCAATTCCCCTGCGCTGTTCCCATCCCCCCAATTCCCCAATAAAGTTCTTTAAAAAAAAAAAAAGATTATTCTCGACCATTCCATTGAAGGTTGCATGAGAAGATAGGGGATACAGTTTGGATAGAGAAGAGTTTCTAGATAGCGGTTAGGAAAAGTAAAAAAAAA